CTCCTACGGATTCCCTCATGGCTGATTGATAGCGCCTATCCGAACCAATGTCTCCAGCTCTTTCAGAGGAGAAATGCCATAAAAGAAGTGATTGGGAGACCCATCAAGCAGACTAACTTGTATCTGCTATCCTGCTCTAGAAGGGGAGGCAAATCTCAGTAAAGAAAAACCTCGTCAATTACATCGACCCTCGTGATAGACGAAAATAAAACCCGCGTAAAAAGGATGAATTGAGCCCATTTAGTCCATCTTCTCTTTTTTAGCTCTCTCAAACATCTCATGAGGCATACTGAGTCCACTTATCCTTTCCAACCCCCTTCAGGTCGTATGCATGCGGCCCCACGCCGAGTCCCCTTTCAAATAGAGCAGTTCGAGATCCCTTTCTTCCTGTCTTTCTTTCGGGCAAGTAAATCTCAGTAAAGAAAAACTTCGGTTTGGATACCTCAATGGGTAATCTATCGTGAGACCCCCCAAAACAGGCCTTAAAACGATGTATTTTTTCCCACGTTTACTTTTTTTTATATTATAGGCGTCTGAGTAATTACACTTCTAGTCTCCCCCCTCCCTTTGGCCAAGGGAGGAAGTCTGAGTCCGATACCTTTAAAGGAATAGTGTCCCATCAGGTTTTGCTCAAGTGCTTGACTTAGATCATCAGGAAATATATCTTAATTGGTAGTTCGCATCAACCATAGTTACCATCAGCAAACTTCCTTTCATCAGCCGTTTACGTGGCTATAAAGCCCTGTGATTTCGCAGCAGGAACACTCGTGACTCGGAAGTTACTGCAGCTTCAAAGAAAAAAGATCTTAATAGAAGAACCACTCCACAAGGACTTTTTTTCCACAACTGAACTCTCGGATTGGTCTCCCTTAACTATACAAGTGGTATCACAGCAGCTTAGGAGCCACACCAGTCTCAATGCAGGTTATTCTGCTTGAGTTAGTCCGTCAATTCTAGATTACATTGTAGCCGCCCTTCGTAAATGCGCAAATCGATCATCGGATGGCGCCGTCCACCAAAACAAAAAGATCAGTCGACGCACAAGTCCCCTTTGCCAGGCCTATTGAGGAAGATCAAGGCTAGATTCAATATTCAATATCCGGCTTAGCTTATCTCCTGCTTTACCGAGCTTGAATAAAAGCTATCGAGCGCCATCTCTTGAAATGGTAGTTCGCCTCAATCAAAGTGGGCCATCAGAAAGCTGATTTTAAATGGTCATTTGCGTGGCTATAAAGGTCTCTTCTTCTTGTTAATAGAGTGTCCCCTTACTATTATAGATGTATGGCTCGCGTACTATCCAAAATAGATAGCAGGCAAGCAGCTCTTTGATCGACTGAGAATTGGTCCGTAGCTGCCTATAAAAGAAAGGCGAGCGCCGCGTGGACTCCCGCGCACAAACAAAGGGCCTCTCGGTGGCATTTCCTAGCTATAGGTTGATGGCTTAGCTTCAAACTATCATTCAGCCGCCCTTACTAAAAAAGATATCTCCAAAATCGAAAACCTCGGGATCAACACCAGGAGTTACTGCGCCAACACTCGCTCGCCTCACTACGTTCTCTTTTAAGTCGTATGCGTATGTTTGCGCCTCTTTTGAAGGCATTTATTAACAGATAAAATGCTCATGTCCTTTCAAGAGCTAGTTGAGACTAGTGGTGAAGAGTGCTAGGTACCTCCCGGACCACCAACTTGATCTTTCTTTTCAGATCGTTACTAGACGCAACCGCTTGGCGAGGGCGACCATCCTCTGCTTCCAACTGGGTTACTATAGTTTCTCTTTTTTTTGTCATTTTTTCATCAATGCAAAAGAAAGTCCCTATAGTAACGTTTTGTAACCCAGTATGGAGCCGTTGTTCTTCGGAAGTATAGCTTGCCGAGTTCTTATCTCTTTTAACGCTCTCGGCGCTGAAAGCAATAAAGTAGCAGGCCTCTTTCTATACCTGCCCTGCTTCCCTTAGGAATTCGAAAATAAATAGTGTATTCGCCGCACGCTCTCGTCATTCTATAGCGCGTTCCGTTCGATTCCGATTCTTCGAGCGTTTAGTCACCGAGCCCTCGACGTGCAGCCTCCATTGGGTGCTCTCCGGTGGGACGCACACGACTTCCCGGCTCCCCTCGAGGCTACCGGGGCTATCCCATGGCCACCTTCTAGTGACGACGCCGGTACTCTGCCCAGCCCACTATTTATTCCAATCCCTCGGGAAGCTAGCCCATACACGGACGCTAGCACCACTTTCAGCAAGAGCCGCCTTCTTGTAGCCTGCAGGAGAGTGACGGCAACCCTTGAGTTCACCGTTGTATATTGAATCTATTTGCAGGTGATTTCGACTCTCTCTTACCACAGTGCTATGAGTGGAGAATAAGCACTGGGTACTGCTCCAGCCCGCCTGGACACTTTACCTTTGCAGCAATGCAACTGGTAGGTAGCATTCACTTATGTGGACTCTCGTGTATAACCAGGATGAAAGGAAGCAACAAGTAGTGTACAATGTCTAACTTGTTCGACACTGTCCTACGTTTGAAGAGATTAACTTGGCAGAGGGTTTTGGAAAACCCTCGGGTGCTGAGGTCAATCTTAAATAAGGTGATCTTAGTACTCACTGGCGGTTTCACGAAGGAGCTCTGTATTGCTGCATACTTGTTTTCTGGTTCTGTGGTAAAGCTGGGCCGAAAGTCAGGATGGTTGCTAGTTGCTTTGTATTTGAAACAGGCAGCTAGCAGTCTCCGTACGGCCTATGGTGGAGTAAAGGTTCCGCCCGCTTGACTTCCGTTACCGATCTCTTTAACCAGGTCAGGATATCCTAGGATAATCCCTTCTTTTCATAGATTGAAAATTGGAAAGGGGGATGATGAGGATAAGGCTAATATCTCTAGTTTCTAAAATTATTCCATCAGGCGGAACCCGCTGCTGACGCCGCTCTCGAGGCTTTTCCACCACTCTCCCGGTCAGAAGCTGCCAAAACTACGGTTCTTTCTCAAACCCTCGATGCTGCTAGGGTTCCGCACCCTTCTCCCGCCGTTCAACGGCCTCTTCCGCCCAACCCCTCTCAATCGCAGTCCTTCGCGCAGTTATTTCGCGCTGCGGCGAGTGCCGTCTACGAACCCTTCGTGCGTTGACGAAATTATTCCGGTGAAGAAGGGCGACTATTTCGCCGTCCCGATTGATGAAACTTTTTATCAACAGCAGGTTCGCCGTTGTGAAACTTCCTTGATTGGTCAACTGGTTCTCAGTAAAGGGGATAAACCATGGAAGCTCCTCGACCTCAAAGCTCGGTTACAACAGCTTTGGGTCTTTCTTGTGATTGGAGTCTTATCTCCCTTGGCAAGGGTTATTTCAACATTCAGTTTGTTTCTATGGAGGAAAGGGAGGCGGTGTGGAAGAAAGGTTCTTGGGCGGTCAAGCCTGGTATTCTACGGCTGCAGCGATGGGTTCCGGACTTCAACCCATACAAGGTACGTACTTCAGTTGCTTGGGTCCGAATTTATGAATTGAGTATCGAATATTGGCACCCTTCGGTGATTTTTGGTATTGCTAGAGCTCTTGGTACTCCGGTCAAAATAGATGATCTATCTTTGAACGGGATGTTCGGGCATTACGTTCGGGTTTTGGTTGATATTGACTTATCACTGCCTCTTCAAGATCATGTCATGCTCGAGCGTCAAGGTCACTGTTGCTTTGTATCATTGTCTTACGAGTGGCTGCCTAGTTTTTGTCCCCAATGTAATGTGGTGGGGCACTCCACGACCACTTGCAGGAAGAATAAGCCCCCGCCGGCTTCCAAAGGCTTGGATTCTGACGATGTTTCCAGGAGGGGTCGGTCTAGGGAAGTTTACAGGGAAAAACCAAGGCAGAAAGGTAAAGATAAGATGCCAGTTAAGGGTGCCCCGGAGATTGGGGTATCAGGTTCAGGTCCGTCCTCGTTGGATACTAGCAAGAAATTTGCGGCTTTGCAAACAGTTGATGGGGATGAGGAGTCGGGTGCTGACTTGCCAGCAGCTTCGTGCCCTGTTGAATCTACTCTTCAGGTGCCGGTTAACTTTGAGGAGGCTATGCCGAACTCGGCGTCAGCTGCTCCTCTTTCAACGGAACCTGGTGCAGTTTCGGTCGAACCTGCAAAGTCTCTCTCTACCTCGGTCAAGCCGCGGTCTCAGTCGGTCCCTCCGTCCCGTCTGGTGGACAAATCTACAGCTAGGAAATGGAATTTTGACCCTCAAATTCTGTCGTCGACGAGGTTGGCGGAGGTATCCACGTCGACTTCCTCGGTTACTTCGGACTCAATCCGACATAAACTGGAGCTCATTCGTAAGGGCCTGCCCCTTCCCGCATCTGATGTGGTTATCACGGATCCGGTATCATCCTCAGCTGCGCATGCTATGTCTATAGCAGCACGAAAAAGTTGGGCAGATCTCACGGAGGGGAAACTATGTCTTTAATCCGACAAAGTCTCGAAACTCAGGCTTTGTATACCTTCTTTCGGGAAGTCCAAACGGACTTCGATGACTTTCGACGAGGACAAGGCGAAGATCGAGTCACAGAAAAAAGACTCCGTGACGAATGGCAAGGAAGGAGGAATGGTAAAAAGGAATAGCGGAGCGATATGGACTCAATTACACCAGGACTTCACTGCTCAATCCGTTGCGCGTTAGCGCATCCGTTTTCTTGCTGCTTCGCTTTGTTCGTTGGGTCTCCGTTTACATGATCAGTAATATAATGAATGAATCATAGATAAGATTAAAGAATGAATTATACTCTTCTGTCCTACAGTAGCGGCCGCTAAAGGAAAGGCATTGATTCGCTTTCGTTTGTGGTGCGCCCATGCATGAATGAAGTGAGACTGCTCGACAAGCAGAAACAACT